AGAAACTCTCCAGACACGAAACAGAACGCTTTAAAAGAGACTAACGTCGTCTATGCCTTCAAATGCCCACTTGGGGACTGTAAGCTCCAAAAAACCCAGTATATAGGCAAGACAACAACATCTCTTTCTAGGCATTTAACGATGCATAAACAACAGGGCTCCATTAAGGAACATATAATCTCTTCCCATAACCAAACCATCGCCAGAGAAATCCTAGTAAACAACACAGAAATCATCGATAGATACAGCGATAGCAGGCGGCTTGACGTTTGCGAGGCACTACACATCAAGAAGTCAACACCAGCAATCAACAGCCAATTATTGCACAACTATATTCTACCCACCTCAAGACTCCGCTCCAATATAGAAGCATCAAGAAATATGGACCAATAGGCTTTCTACAAACACTTCTATTCAATATCCATTGTTTCGTGTTCTGTCTTGTGTTGATACTTTTAATACCCTATTAATATCCTCTAATGCCACATCATCCTTCCCACCTCACTCAAATGTAATGCCACATCACCCTTCCCACCTCACTCAAAAGTAGATATAAAATCAGGGAAATGCAAGTTCTAATCAGTTGTGTATTTGTGAAGTCTTTGAAAATGTAATAAGTTTTACGAAACGCGCCCGTGTCGCGTCAGACTAGAAATAAAAATGAATTTTGGAGAAGTGATTTTGATTTACCTCCAACAGTGAAGCATAATGTACGAAAGATTGAGAAAATTCGTGTTAGAATTATTAATCTTACTTTTTCGGTCATATTTAATAAAATATGTCTACAGGAAAGACTGCTACCAAAATATATTAATATATATATATATATATATATATATATATATATATATATATATATATATATATATATATATATATATATATATATATATATATATATATATATATATATATATATATATATATATATATATATATATATATATATATATATATATATATATATATATATATATATATATATATATATATATATATAATGAAAATGCTTTTGTCATCAGTACTTCTTTTCTTCGACGCATTTTTTTTTTTGGTGAGGGGGGGGGGGGGAGGATATGAATGCTTGTCCGTGTAAAAGCAGAGAGGTGGGCCAGGCGGAGGGGCGCCGGGATGGGTGTAGGGGTCGGTCATGGAACACAGAGGGCAGGACGAGGACATGCACTCTGAGCCAACAGAGGTCCACTACCCGGAGATCCTGCTGGGGCAGGGCACGCATACACACTCCCTCCTCTCCCCCTCACCACATTTATTTGTTGGACCTCATTAGCTTCAGTTGTCCGTGGCCGCACCTGGATTGCTCACCTGTCACATACTGTACCTTGGCAGCACCTGGCGGCCCACCTGTCCCAAGAACCTGGAGCACATGTCCGCAACTTCCAGTCTGTCGTGTTCACAATTTCTCAATTTACATTGCAAGAACAAAACGACATGTTTAATTATCGTCGTCATTTGTTTGCTTATTTATGTTACATAATTAAAACGTCTTCAGATGGAGGAGAAATCGTTCTACACCCTTTTATGGGATATCTAGTGATATTTTTTGTTTTGCTTGATAGTATCTTGATATTACGAGCTGCAGGGTAGCGGTGGGGGTGACGCTGCACAAGCGAGGGAGGTGGTCATGGCAGGAGCGCTGTCAGCGTCTGCAGCTGTAAACGTCAAGGAGCCACATTCTCTTCGTCTTCTTGTGCACATGGGAGTCACAAGAAAAAGGAAATCTGGCCGTCTCTGAGGCCAGAGAGGTCTGTGCGTCTGCGCTTACAATTGAACGAAAGAAAATATAATTAGTGAAAATTTCCGCTGTTTGATGAATCATTAAAAGTTGTGCTTTAATAACAACAAAATAGATTCGAAATTCAGCGTGTGGTTTACTCGTAAAAGATTAATTCGCTGCTTTATTTAGAAATGTTTTAATGATCCAGTTACATAAACAGCCCCAGTATGCACCCCCGATTGCTTAAAGATATTTTTTCTCCAGGCGTGACATGACCAGGGCATCTGGTAATAATAATATGAACGATAATGCATACATTATCACTCAAAAACAAGTATTCTGTACTTAATTAGTCACAATATTTTTACATCACGGTCCTTGCCTTCAAGGGGAAACTTACCTTAAAAGTAAACGATTCACTATTAAACTTTCATTAGCTACACGATTGATTCATAAGGATTCCAGATATATATTTAGTTATTTGTATATCATGTACAAGGTTTTTCATTTTGAGCATCATGTGATAAAACATACTGGATTGGTTTTAGTGGACATGAAACAGAGGTTAAGGTTCAAGCATAGCATCGTCATTAATGAAGGTGAAGGAAAGACCCAATTTATGTTTAAGTGTATTAAAAACCAAGGTTTCGGGTGTAATCTACATCCTTTTTCAAGGTACTGTACACAGTACTTTGAGAAAGGATGTAGGTTACATTCGAAAATTTGGTTTTTAATATATTTAAACATACACACGTCTCGATGGTGTCGGTGATTGGATTGAATTACAGTCGCTTAAGAATTTGTATTTATTAGATTTACCGGTATGTGCGGATGTGGCTTTTGTGTCTCCATTATTCTCATGCAATAACGGTACTTTGTAGGGTGCGTCGGTGGTACTTTAATCACTATACCATAAGACTGTACAAAAATATTGGTAGTCGTGAGACTATTTATCCAAGATCCGACAGCACTCGATGGTCAACTCGGGCATAGATATTTCATCGAATCGCCTCACTCTGTGGGGCCACGTGAGCAACACAAAGGCGAACAATTTGTTCCAGGTCCAAATCGAATTGTTACGTTGGCCCCACATGAGGGTCGTCCACCGCCAGGCCAATCTCACCACAAAATTCATACATCTCTTGCTGAAAACATTTTATTTAACAATATTCTTTCCCTCAATTATTTTAAGAAGCCCTATTACGTGTAATCTGATTGATTGATAAAGATTAAGCCACCCCAAGAGGGGGCACTGGCATGAGTAACCCGTAAATGTATAATCTATTTTGTGTTGTCATAGATAACATCGGAAGCAAGTTCGATAATTAACTAAATGCCTAATTATGTTAAGGTATTTGTAAATGCTATTTATAACAAAATATAATTTTAATTATAAATTTATATTAAATCTTAATTTAAATTCCTTTAATATATCTTAAATATACTGAAAAACATGGAATTTGAATTTATTAATATTTAGGAATCATTGTAAAGCTAGCGGCGCCATGACAGCCTCCCGAGGTGGGTGCGTGCTACTCCTCCTCCAAGTCTGGCTTAATATTTCGTTACTAGCAGTCGACGACCAGAACCCCTGCCCCTCAATATTATTCCACTGTAACAGAGGCAAGTTTTCGTCTGTTTTAACATCTGAGTGTAAATGAAAGGTTAAAATGTAGCATATATAATCTTTCCCGACCTCTCTAGCTCCATACCGGGCGGACCAACGGTCCACATTCAGTTTTATGTTTATCATGGACGTACTTCTTTTATCCTAATCATTTCCTATATTCCTTGGTGTAAAATAGCACACGGGGAACGTGGAGACAGCTTATTAGGACGATAGGTACATAGACGCCCTGTGTAGTCTACTACCATCTAGTTACGTGGGCACATTTGTGTGTAGTCTCACAGTCTGTCCTCCAGTAATGATAATAACAACTATTTGGTCAAATGGACTGTTGGGTTCAAACTAATTCACGTTTTATTTAATTGAATGGTACACAAAATATGGAAACGTACCTAATCTAACTTGTCTAAGCAATCCTAGTATAAGGCCTAATATACTCTATCTTAGGCTTCTTCTTGAGAGGTTATCTTGAGATGATTTCGGGGCTGTTTAGCGTCCCCGCGGCCCGTCCTCGACCAGGCCTCCACCCCCAGGAAGCAGCCCGTGACAGCTGACTAACACCCAGGTGCCTATTTTACTGCTAGGTAACAGGGGTATAGGGTGAAAGAAACTCTGCCCATTGTTTCTCGCCGGCGCCTGGGATCGAACCCAGGACCACAGGATCACAAGTCTAGCGTGCTGTCCGCTCGGCCGACCGGCTTAGGTACATATAGTACCCTATATGTACAGTACTTGGCCTAGGAATCTTTAAGTTTAATTTTTTGTTTTTTCGTACCCACTACAATATTAATAGTCGAAGACGTGAACGTTGTTGGCTGTAACAATACATTTGTATCCGTTCAACCAGACAGTTGCTACACGTACTGTCACGTTAGGAGGCTGCCGGGGCTGGCACACAACACAGCCACTACGACAACACGGCTCACTATCACCTTTACAAAGTTTTCTCCAGTTGGAGTAACCCAATATGTTGGATAAAGTACGCACTCAAAATCTGCCAGCCATTTGCAAAAATAGCAATATGCATGTGAGTCACGGATTACCTTGTTTAACTTTTTAGTGTAATTATATAGACAATGAAACAAAAGTTCCTAAATTAGAATGTTCTTAAGTGGAGAACTTAGGGATGCAACGAGAAGGGTCAAGAAGGGATACTCCGTTCACCTTACTGTATTTTATTTTTACAACAATTTTGTACAGAGAAGCCTCTTAGGTTAAATCTATTATTATTGCTTAATATAATGCATACAATTATTTCATACATGACATTTAACAATCATATATCATTCAATGAACCCGAATCTCGACAAAAAATAATAAAATTGGAACTACTTGAATCCGGAATTTGTAGATTCACACAGAAAACATTTGTAAAAACACTTTTGTAGTGTGAGTGTGTGTGTGTGTGCTCACGCATATGTGAGGGAGTGCGTACTTGGACATATGGAAGCACACAACAGTGAACTTCAATTCAAGTGTGAAAAATATGTAATCAATATAGAAATTTAATTACTGAACATAATGTTATAAATTTTACTTTCTAATACATATGGCTACGATTTTAATGATACTGAATATATATATATATATATATATTATATATATATATATATATATAAATAATTTTCACACACACAGTATATGTATTACAAGGTATTTTACTTTCTAATATATGTTGCAATGAGTAAAATGTACCTATGAGTATTTAACAAATACACATTTAAAATATCTCTGAAATTATCAATACAACCAAGAAACGTGCCAATGAGCACAACAAAAACATTCGCAGTATCACATAATTGACAATTTTTTTTCAAATTGTTAGCATAATAAAGCGTTTTTTATTTCTTAGTCTAATTTGACAGTTGTATGTTTTTGCTTCATCCTTGTTTTATTGGAAACAAGTTTTAAAGGATGAAACAATTGTATGTGTATTAGCCTCGTTATGGCTGAAGCCTCAAAAGCTGGATAAACAGCCCTATTCACGTTGTCCCAAAGGGATATACAATGGAAAAGAAAGAGGGGGGAGGGGAGAAGGGTGGCATTACTGTCGGTCTAGCAGCCAGACGTGTTATATAAAATTTGGGTTTAAGTTTTAAATCAACCTCGGGTGGGTTGGACAGATTACGTTATACCTGTGCTCTTGGTCCCTTGACTGAAGCCTCAAACGTCACGTCTCGTTTAATTATAGTATGTAATTAGCGGTTAAGTCTATGAAATATCTGAAATTGATAGCAGAGTTTCAGAGTAAATAAAACCTTTAAGACACCAGTGAAACAAACATAAAACGTATTTATTTCAAATATAAGGAACTGCATTTTACGTGCAATTATAAAAACTCCGTAAGTTTACAATATATACTAATAGTGGCAAAAATAATGGAATTGTTTTTAACTGAAATATCAGCGGAATACTAAATGAATGTTGCTTAAATAGTGAGACAACTATTACCGTAGATAAAAACAGCCTTCTTGAATGGAAATGCTAAAACAAAATCTATATGCTAGGCTGTGTCTGGTCTGAAAATGCTCTCTGTTTATAAGAATTTTGTTTTTAATATGATTTCAAATACGAGTACAGTATTGCATTTAGAATTTGGAACTGAATTTGTGTCCATGATAACCGTCACTAGTAACAGATTGACTGACAATGTAATATGGAGTACAGTACAGTAGATAGATATTCGTGAAGTTCGAGTGATGGGTTCAGTGGCATCAGTGGTGATATTGGTGAGAGGGATCAATGGCAGCCACAGTGGGTGACAGTGGTGAGGGTACGCTTGGAACCGTCTGCTTGTGTAATATTGATGTTATTTATGCCTGTGGGAGAACACCTCGAGCTTCTCTTTACCAGGGACATCATGCACCCGCCGCTCGACTCCCTAAGATATATAATTACACACAATTACTTGTTGTATTGAAATTTAGAGAAAATATAACTCGGCAATATTTGAATCTGTCATATCATAATGATCGTTAAGGTAGTACTGAAATAGCGTTTAACTTACCTGAAGACACAATGATCTTCTGGCATCGTGTCACATTCCCCAATGCAGGTACCGACATCAATTACCTATGGAGTAAGTTCGATTTACTATTAGTGCACGGAAAAATATGTTACTGAAGTTTGAAGTGCAATAACGGGCGATTAAAATGTTTAGAATGACTTAATACCCTTAAGTTATTAAATTACAAAATAATTTAGGTTACTTAATAACTGCAGAAGGCCTATGAAACCGCTCCTATTTATATACAATAAATCCACCCAAACTCATTCAATTGAAATACCTAGTTATGTGACCCAGTAATTTGTTCCATGAGTTAATTATTCTATTTCCAAACCAATATTTATTCAGGTCTTTCCTGAATGTAAACTTATATGCACATGCATATAAAAATATATAATATAAATGTAAGAAAGACCTGTTCCGTCAGTGTTCCTGATGTTACATATTTTCATTTGAACATGAAATAATTAACTTAATTGCTTTTGATTAACTGAATAAAACAGTAGGCTATAGTGTTCTGAAGTATTTGAATTCCAACAGGTTAACTAAGAACTGAATGAATGAGTAATACAAGATGAAAGTAAATATCTGTTAAAGGAAATCTGCAATAAGGATTTCGTTGCATGCTTGGAATATAAATCATTTGTCAAAATGCTTTGTTGTGACATGCAGACAAATAATAGTAAAAATAGTAATAAAGGTTGCAAAAAACCTCCATAGGGTACAATTTAATTTGTCAGCCAAGGTCCATTGTCTATCATGCAGATCCATACAGGAGACATGAGACATACAGGAGACATACATGCAGGAGACATATGTCTCCCACATCCCTGCCGGTCTATTGCGTCATTCACATCACATTCTAGTTTTGCGACATCACTACCATCACAGCTGAGAATGTTACGTTATCAGACAACTGAATGAAATGAACAATGTGGAGGAATCCAATGAATATATAATATATGGGACCATTGTTTTTGACAAATTTGCAATTCTAACGTTCTATTATGATAGTTTATCTGTAATATTAAGTACTAATTATAACCCTTGATTTACAAATAAATTACAACTAAACAAACGTGCAGCTTAACACTTACTTTTATGATACTGTTGAACTTTTATTTTATATTCGTCAGCAACTATAAAGCTCATTCGAAGTATTGCGATAATAGGAAAGTAGAAAAGTAAAATTACGAGGCTAAGCAATGCAGAAATTCAATAATATCTGACGGAATACAAATTGAGGAAAATTGGTGGTAATTAGTTTAATTGCTGCTCAATTGTAGAGTGGGGAAGATAGCTGGCGGAGGCCTTAGAAATTAATGCAGAAAGTGTTTACTAGACAAAAATAAGCATTTAACGCGATTTCAGCTTAGGAAGTGTGAGATACACAATTCAAGAAAAGTTTGAACGAGATCAGATGGAAATCCAGCCCGTCCTCATTCAACCCCTCCTCAGACGAAGTCCATTCTATCCAGTAGTTGGCTCCAAAAACGCATTCATCAATTTTAGCATGTTCATTCAAAATATGAATTTTCTCATATAAATTAATTTTGTTATATATTAGCATATTGTGCATATTTAGGCATTGGTTAGGTTAGGTGTTTAGGTTCTGTTGGCGATTATTTGTATTTGTAGTACTTGGGTGAAGTATTTACAACGTTGTGGTTTGAACAAAAGTCGTCAGCGAAGCACTTATTCCAGCCCGTCCTCCAAACAAAGACCCAAAAGTGATTCCATGCACTCGCCAAACCCCCTGTTTATGAATGAAAAACGGTTTACACACGACTCAACTGATTTCGTTCGAACACTTCTGGAACAAGTGCTTCACTGACGAATTTTGTTCGAACCACAACACTGTAAATGCTTCACCCACGTACTACAAATATGAATAATCGCCAACAGAACCTAAACACCTAACCTAACCTAACTTAACCAGTGCCTAAATATGCACAATATGCTAATAAATAATATTAATTTATATTTGAGAAAAGTTCAGTTTTGGATAAACAGAATGTTAAAATTGATGAATGCGTCTTTGGGGTCGACTGCTGGATAGAATGGACTTGGTCCGAGGACAGGTTGCTTGTTCCGGAAGTTTTTGGATGTCATCAGTTGTGAATCGTGTATAAACCGTTTTCATTCATAAACAAGGGGGTTGGGCGGCTGTATGGAATGGACTTAGGCCTTTGTTTATGAGGACAGAGGTTGATTGTGGGTATAGTGAGGCCTGACCTGGATGGTGGGTTCGTCGGGAGTGGTGTAGTTGTAGAGGTGCTGGTAGAGGGCGGCCCGGTAGCAGGAGGACTCACAACCACACTCCTCCACCACAGACACACACTCTGATCCTGCAAGACATACATGAGTTATTTTAGTGGATAAATTCCGTGTTATTTGACAAATGCACTTATTCCACGTTTCATAAGTGGAAACGTGGATGTTTCAGCAACATTATAATAAGTCAGGATAAAAACCCCCACGTGAGTATTTGTGAAATTTATGTAAAGAAATTACACCAAGTCTATCGCACTCTCCTGAGTGCTTTGTCAAGGTATGTGGTTAGGACGAGGCTTACATCTCAACGTCTAATGATTAGACGTTGAGATGTAAGTCTCGTTTTTAATAATAACGCAGGATAAAAACGTGTGGGTTTTTATCCTATGTTGTTATGTCTGTGAGAAGACATTACATTACTTACTAGAATAAGTGTTGCTACTAACCATTTGGACCTTCCACTGATACTGTCCTCGACTTGATTGCTTTACAACCCAATTCTGAAAGAATAACAACTGTTTTTTACGAGTTCGGTGTTTTCTTGTAGTATTATTTAAAAACAAATATTGTTGCGCATTTACGTTCTTTCAATTTTATTTTTATTTGATATTGATATACAGTTAGCATTCAGTAATGCATTTCTCACCATGAAAGCAATGTCCTTGGCAGTCACCAAGGTCGATAGTAGTTTGGAGCGGAGTACCCTTATGGAGGGTGACGGGTCTTGGCTGGCGACGGCAGGAGTGGGGTCGTGGCTGACACTGACATGCCTCTGTCACCGTCACGCTCACCACGCCCTCCGTCGTCGCCAGGCGCTCCACTCGCGACTCAGACGCTGTGCACGCCTCCTCCTCTGGGCACGACGGGCTTCCACGTTGTTGGCCAGAATTCAATAGGAATAACTGAAAGAACCAATGAAAATGAGTAAATATAGCAAGTAATTTCATTATATTAAGCCTAAAATATTTTGAAGTTACTAACTTTGCCATATCTTTCAACAAAAAATGTAATGCAGTTTATTATCGAAGGCCATAATATTGCAACACAACGCCCAGTGTCAATCTGGACGTGTGTGTCTGTACGGTGTAAACTGATCTTACGTATAGGAGATAAAGCTAAACACATTGTTAGTGCTCGTGTGAATGGCTCTTAACTTTCACAATATTTCTGTATCAGAATCACACAGAATGATGAAGCTGGAAAATAAAATTGATTTGACGTTATATGGTGGAATTGTTAGGAATTACGAGTACCTTTCGTGTAAATCAGGCCATTATTTATTCAACGATGTAATCGGCACCATTACTTTATTCCCATGATTGGGTTATTTATGGAAAATGTGGTTAAGGTGCTGGCCTAACACTGCAACGATCCCTAGTCGCTTCACCTTGAGAAGGAAGCGTAGTTTCAGATTTTGTTAAAACTAGTTTTGGGAATATAGCCATGTATCTACCAGCTTGTAAATATCCTGCTGGTTTGAATCAGGCTGCGGTACTGAATTTAAACTCATATATGGGTTCACTTCTGAGTACTTTTGGTTCTTGCCGAGTAAGTGGGTAACTTTATCGCACTGGGGACCTACACACATGCAAAATGTTATTGTTCAGAGTAATACGTTCCGTTTCATACAATTACTGAATAAACCAGTAGAATGCCTGCAGACAATCACAGTGCCTCTAAGTCCTGCATAACATTTAAATAGTAATAATAGGTACTATATAACGATTGAAATATGCAGAATATATGTCTGTTGTAAGCAAAACAAAAGAAAGACCATATTTTGTACTTGTAATTTTCTAAAGGGCTCGAGAAATAAGGCAACAAACAACTTATATTCTTAAACTTCCCTAGGTTTAGTATAGCACATATATGTACTAAATCAGGCCTAAGAGGATGAAATCACGGTCGTCACTTCTCTCCGTCAACGAGGAGGCGACGGGCAACACAGAACCTCTGATTCATTTCCGATAGTTCAGAAATAAAAAGAGAAAGGTTGACGCTGAGTAAATGAGACTCGCGTCCCTAAAAGACTACACTCTCTTGAGGCTTATTTATTTAGGCCTAGGACAGGTTAGATTAGGTTTATAGTTAATGTTCCATTTTTTGGCGTGCCCTCTGCAGTATTCCAATAGTACAAAACTTGAACTGAATTTGGGGTACAACAATCCATATTGTTTACATACCATCCGTAGTAGCTATAGGTACCACAACTTTAGGAGGCTGGGTTGACATTAGCGTGCCGCTGTAACCTTGAGCTGAACATTAATTGCAAATGTCGTATTTTTTTGTCCATCTGGAAAGCTCTGTATGGATCATTCATCGCCTTCATGCCTATACACCCTAACTTGTACTTCGCCCTTCCGGCTACTCATCCGTCATGAATATTTATATAAGATCAGATTGTCTAATGGTGACTCGACAATTCAGTAGCATTAATCAATTCCTACGTTCCATAATATATTTTTCTAATTCGGTGTCTATTAAAAAAATTCTTTACATTAAATATTTTGAACAAGATCATCCTTCATCAGATAATTATTTTTTAACTGTAAAGTTTTATAAATAAATAGTTAAAATGACTATTCATTAGGAGTTAATTTCGAAATTAAGAGTTTTCCAGTAGCTCATACGTCACATCCAATTATGTTATCCCTTAATAACGCTTAATTCACTATCCATTAACAACGTCTACTTTACAGTCCCTTAGGGCTGCTCACTTTATAATTACTTAAGTACGTCCTCTTTGCAGTCTCTTGAAGTATGCTAATTGTTGATCCCATGATTACATCTACTTGAGAACTCCTTTAACACTTACTCAACACCTCTTTATATTTATCTAAGAATTCTACCAAAGCTAGTGTTAGATACCCTCGAACTCGAAAGTTTTGTCAACGTTTCTATGAACAATTTATTTTGTATGCTCCACAAACTTTACATCATAAATGCGCAATCCAATCAGATTATATATATGTATTCTGTTCGGGAATCCCCATAACCGAGTCTTTAGAAACAACCCTCTATGACTTAATTTAAAATATCAGCATTAACATACCAGTCGCGGGTCCATTTCAGGGTTCTCCAAAAGTAGACGTTCGAATTCGACCCTTTTAAGCTGCTGTTTTCTGCTGCAGTGCTTCCGGCAGTGACCCACGTCAATTAGAATCTCCTCGCCGGTAGCATCTGGTGGAATCAAATACAGGTTCATGTCTATAAATGGAAACCTCATCAAGGCCTCAGTATTGCTGCTCTTCGTTGTTCTTCATCGTTTCTTTACGTACACTTTTTTTTAGTTTTCTGTTCAGCGTTTCTTAATATTTTTATGAAAAATCTGAAGGTGATAAATTCATTATGAAATATTTTTTTTAGAAATATTGCCGAAAACAATTAGTTAATCGGAACAGAAGTATTATATGCACTTATGGTTTGCTGTATAATAGTATTATACCTTAGTATTAGTTAAATATCAGCGAAAGGAGGTTAGATGTGTGTTTTAGTTTTAAAACACTAATCGTGAACGACAAGAACCTCCCTTAAGTTGGGGATGTGAGTGACGGTAATGGGTGAGCAAGATGGCAACTTGAGGTAGGGCCAATGCACAGGAGAGATTTTTATCCAGAATGGGCTGTATTAAAGTAGCAATAATTTGACACACTATTACAGGAGATTAGAAATACTAGTACAATTTACAAAAGCCGAGGACTGACTGGTGGTTAACACTGAAAGACATTTGAGATACCTAAGGCAGCAGGGGAAATACTTATCTAAGATAACCAGGGCACCTTAAAAGTTATTAGAGATTAGAACGCTCAGATAAATGGAGCCCAAAAAGAGAATCATTGGGTAAAAAATCTGCGCGCAAGAACTGTCAAGTGTCCATCCTGCAACTGAAAAAGAACGACTCTGCTGAGCGTGGGAGTCGTCCAGCCTGTCTGGTTAGCCAGTCGCGGGCAAAGAAAACGGCTAAATGAACTTGGTTCTTTCAGGAAATTACAGACCATTAGTTGAAGAGCTGAATGATACTAAATAAATTCAATAAAGGATATTTGGATGTACCTGAGACTCCAATGTTCTTCATCTTGGCCTGGCGAATGCAGCAGTTGGTGTGGTCTCGTGAAGACAGGCTCACACTTCGGGTCTCCTCTTGGGAGTCTTCTGTCATATCCTCCATCCCGAAGATCCTTGCTATAACCAGAAACGAAAAGTTATACATTGCAGAAATTATAGAATGGAGCTTAATTTAAAAATCTTTAAAGAGCTAACTTTGCAGAAGTTGAATCATTTTGAATATGAACGTACCTCTTGCAAGAGGAACCATCATAAGCATCAGAAGCATCGTAAACACCAAAAGGGACGCGAAACTTTTTGAAGTCATATCTCCGGTAGCTGCGACTGAAGATACTGGTTCAATGAAGGAGTTATACCACTTATGTGTATACAGCGGGTCGTCCTGGAGAAGGAGTGCGTCGGGCCACGGGAGCAGCGCTACTGGAAGCCCAGACCCGTTGCCGCTCCTAATAATTGAGGGAGGGAGCGGCGGAGAGGTAAGTGGGAGGTGCCACCCACTCCACCACCCACCTGTCCACCCACATATTTCCTTAAGGAATCCATTGCTATACATTCATTTTCAACCCCATCTCATCTACCCTCGTCAGGTAGCCTGCGACACCCGCAGCCCCGCCCACACTCATAAAATGAATGGGACCCAACAGAGTTCATTCATTTGGTCGTTGAGGGGGCGTGGCTGGTTGTGCCTTGTCATTAGCGATGCGTCACACCTGGTGGTAGTGACCAGACAACAGGACAATAGAGTGGGTGAGATATAGCGATACGGAAGCACCTTAGTAGCTCAGTATATTTCACCAGACAGCTGTTATCTAGGAATTGCTTATATTACCTACCATCACTAGCGGTTTAACATGCGGCCCACCTGCACCCTCACCTGACACTTTAGTTGTATGTGACATCATCTTTATACGTGTTTTCTCCTCATACGCATTATTGTGCGCAAGTGATTTAAACTACTGTTATTTACAGTATAAAGTTTAGATCTTGTGAGGTTAGTTTAGGATTTTTGTGTCTTTCGTTTTGCATCGGTGAGTTCCAAGTATTGCTGAGGAGCTGCATCAGTATATGCTACAATCACTGTTGAGGACTTACATTGGTGTAGCTACTGAGGAACTGCTACCAAAGGATTTGTTGCAGTAAAATCCTGCTACCAAAAGACTCGCTGAAATAAAGGCTTTTACAAAAAAGCAGTTTGGGAAAAGAGCTTGCTATCATTTGTTGAAAGAAAAGTTTGATATGAAAGAGGTTGGAATAAAAGCTGGTATCTAGTACTGTGAATAGAGGCAATGTATTCGTACTATGTTTATCATATACCAATTAATTAGTTTAAAGCGTCATAATCAACATTACAAGAAACAGGAATCTTAGTACTAGAGAGGTCATGTAGAGATTACTCACTGTAATATATTCTGAATCTTAGCATTAGAGAGATAAGGCAGAGATTATTGTAATATATTCAGTCTTAGTACTAGAGAGATCCTGTAGAAATTACAGTAGTATGTTGCTTGCATTTTCCAATCATTCACTAAATCATTTTCCAATTCTTCACCAATCATTTACCCTTCACTAAACTTTGATAAACATCCTGACGTAATAACCTTGCAAATGAAACAGAATAGGCTTCCTTGCTTTCTGAAGAGCATAACCAATTTCTTGCATCTTGTTTGTAGGTTAATGAGCATATATGGAATAAGACTTCTGACAGTGCCGGGGTTTCTTTTCATTGTCATACAATCTCATGGATGAAGACAGTCACTAGTATGTTGACATTCACTACTTCCCTTGGTTATCCAATATTCACGATCGCAATCGTATGGAAAGTTTGGTCATTCGTTAGTATCATTAGAGTACTTGTTCTTTTCACTTGTTCTTTCGCATTCAATGGATACTGACTGTTGTTGTATCATGACTGCCGCATTAGTTATTCCAATATTTCCAGTTTTAAGGTGTTATATCACTATCATCATCTCTATGTACATCAAAATATTGTCAACTTGCGTGTTTTTGACATTACAAGTTAGACTCTTCTTTCTTCTTTCGCTTTACGTTTTGCACTTACAGAAGTATAATGACGTAAGTATTACTCTGATATCTACACTGGAAAACAATATGTATACAAAAATTAATAGTTTATGTAAATAAACATGTGAACTTCAGGAAATAAAAAGGTATGATTGACAAGTGGCAAGCCTCGGCTCTACATTTTATTTTTTTGCAGGGATAATCCTGCGCGGGCCTAAGCCTCTGGCTGGCCCACGCAGCAACAAGTGTTGCTTGTTTCTGTTTTACTTGGGCGGAGTATGAGTATTTATGACTCGTATGGTCGTATGGTATGAGTATTTATGGTCGTATGGTCGTATGGCTTCAGTATGATTTTGTCCCATGTGTTTAACAACTTCTTCTGCTCTGTTGAATCTAAGTTGAAATCTTAATGGGTTTGTAACTCTGCACTGTGTTAGATAATGTTCCAGTGGTCTGTTGGGCATTTCTCCACAGTGCTGACATTTCCTCTCATCTTCCGGAACCTGTAAGTCTATTTTCCATGCACATGGGTATCCAAGCCTGATGCGATGTAAGTGTACTTCTGTTATTCTACTGCTCCTTTTCATCAAACAAAGAAAACTTTTTCACACAGTACTTAAATAAAAACAAATAACGCAGTACCTGGAGAGCCGTCATATAATCAGTAGGCCGGGCCACTCAAGATTATCGATCAAAACTATAAGATTCATTTCAATAGGACATAGCGCAGTCTAAATTTGAACAACCCACACTGACGGGTGGTTACATAGACATAGTTAACTAACTCTGTAAAGTTATTAATGTCGTTGGTATTGATCACGTAGAGCATGCAGCTTCCCCGACATGTAAACAGCGGCGCCAGGTCGTGAGACGCAGAGTTCGCCAGAGGATTTGAAAGCATTTAGTGCGGGCCCGTAGCATATACTACTTTTGCTAATAGGTTAATCCGTCACTGGATACCGACTTAGTTATGTTTCCTCTTCGCCCGCCAGACTATTAAGATACAAGGAAGTCATTACAATGTATTTTACAGACACGTTTATTTTAGTGTCTGATATCTTACTGGAGTGTAATGAATATTTCGGTTCTCCTCCCTAAGGAATATTGGTAAATAAAATCTATATCAAAGCTGGTCGTTCGAACTGGAAAATCAAATTTAAGTCCAGAAACCTTTTACACAAAATTAAAAGAATTTCATATTCTTTTGAAACCCTTCACCAGCAAGATACTTGTTGCTGGTGAAGGGTTAGAGACAAGGAACGAAAAACTTGGCTCATTTGTAAGTGAATATACCAATAGTGTGAATAGTTTTGTTGTATTTCTCTGTTTTGTACGCTTAAATGTTATCATTTCCTTCTTATTGCCTTAATGCACGACCATTAGTTCCTTCATATCTTTTAAAGTAGATTGGTATGGGAGAGGGAAAGTCCTCCAGTAGATGACCATGGGAGAATCCTCCAGTAGATGTCTGTGGGAGAGTCCTTCAGTAGATGACCTTGGGAGAGCCCTCCAGTAGATGGTCATGGGAGAGTCCTTTAGTAGATGGTCATGGGAGAGTCCTCCAGTAGATGACCATGGGAGAGTCCTCCAGTAGATGGTCATGGGAGAGTCCTCCAGTAGATGGTCATGGGAGAGTCCTCCAGTAGATGGTCATGGGAGAGTCCTCCAGTAGATGGTCATGGGAGAGTCCTCCAGTAGATGACCATGGGAGTCCTCAAGTAGATGGCTGTGGGAGAGTCTTCCAGTAGATGGTTGTGGGAGAGTCCGTCAAAAGATGGCTATCGGAGAGTCCTCCAGTAGATGGCTGTGGGAGAGTCCTCCAGTAGATAGCTATTTGAGAGAGTTCTCCAGCAGATTGCTAAAGTTAACATCGAACTGAACGACTTGTAGAAATACTGATCACGTAGTTGAACCGTTTATGACTTAGTGTTTGTAAAATGTATATTAATATATGTGGACTTCTTGGGACGGCCATTACCACGTTAATGTCTTCCAAGTGTCTGAAGTTTGTTGTGAAAATTAATATAATTGGAACAAACGGGAAAGTTGTGTTCGTTAGTATTAAGACGAGATTACGTTTTAGTTTGCAGGTATATAAGCAGCAAAATTGTGGTGAGGTCATCGAACTCTTGCATATCCTCAAATAATTCAAAATATATTGTGAAGGGAATCAGATAGGATACAAGGTATCGGATGGACACACACACAAGAACGCCTGACATAAAGTCCCTCTTGGATAACTCGGTTAGAAATAATTGGATGTGATGTGTGAGAATGAGTGGAAGGAGTGTCAAGTCACTGCCGTCTGCAGGTTATGTTGTGGAGTGCGACACATCCGGACGTCTCTGATAGACTTTGAGTGGCTGGCATTGTTGAGGCATATTACACTGTCAAGCTCAATCATTCCCTAATCACGTGCCAGATGAAAATAATAGAGATGCATTTGTATTGTCTTACACACTTCTTGACCTTGAGATGAAGTATTTGCATAGTTTCTTTTTTTATAAAATGCTCACCAAAACCCATCCTTATTTTTAAGGATGACATTACACATATTAATCTCTTATATGGGAAATATAAATTCTTAATTAGAAATGCAGCTTCGAAATTTATTGGATTTTGTTTTATAAATAAGTGCCCAAGTTATACTGCAAAACCATCTCCCTATTGGTGCCTGTTTTGACAATACAACCCCTCCTCCAGCCATGCTCATCCAAGGCACGATCGACACCAACTCAACCCGTCCTCTTAAAAAGAACGTCACTTTTGGCTCGTATGCGCGCTATGGCCAAATTTGGACGTAATTTGAAATGAAATCGACTCGCAAAAGTGACGTTCTGTTCCGTTTTCTATTTGAGTCGTCCGGCGTACGCGCAGAGGTTATAAGAGGACACTTTAAATTAACGTTTTTCATAACGTTTTGAAACTTTATGAGACTTTCCTGGCCACCTAACATATCAGAGGGCCCTTAACTTACTGTTGTTGAAAAAAAAAACAAATTTATTTTCATTTTTTTTCATTTACAAATTACGTCCAAATTCGGCCATACGGGCAAACGGCCAAAAGCGACGTTCTTTTTAAGAGGAAAAGTACGCATTCAGAAATTTTAACGTATTGTGTATTAAAAAGCAGCATTTACTCAAATATACATTAATCGTAGTATGTGTGTAAATCACGAAAAATTAACACGTGATGAATAATGTGACAATGTTTAACCACAAAAGAAAGCGAAACAAGAAATTACTTAGGCATTTTCGTGTTAATCAACACTTCATCATAAGTATATTTGATCATCATAAGTATATATAAATATATTCTTTATACAGCCTAGTGTGAGGATGGGTTGCGTAATCTGTTTTTCATTAATGGGGTTTGGTTGCT